TATATGATATGATCCATGATCCTTTCCAGCCCAATTCCCTGCAATACACAGGGGAAATTTTACACAGCTTACAGAAGCCTATGAGGGTTCTGTAACCACCTCCTTTAGCTATGGGATGCCATCCCAGAACACTGCATGCTAAGAAGTGTTTGGACCCAAACTTTCCAAGGGAGCTGGAAGCAAAGGAGGCCAGCTACCTCCATATCTCTGGGACCTGACCTAGGGAAGACCTACCAGGCAGCAGTGTACGGAGTAGAAATGCAAATGCAACCTACATTATCTAAGGAAGAGCCTGCATGTGAGCAAGAGGTCGCTGGGCTTTCCCCAGAGTGTCCGTGATAACGTGCTGACTGAATCTTACCTCGGTGGGAAAACAATCAGATTACAAAGCTGGCCGCGTCAGCGGGACCAAGGCCAGCACCTGACCTTTTTATCTTAATTCTGCGAAATAGATAAGAGCATAACCTTCAGCTTCCATTGGGAAATGGGGAACGTGCAATTTCTAGAGGGTCATCATGCTTCTTACAAGAGATGATCACAAGTGATAAGGGTTCAGGGCCAGTGAATCCAACGTGGGCAACTGAGGCATTTGGTCTCATGCAGTGCCTGCTGCCTCCTCTCAAGTGTGGCTCTAACGATTCCCCTGGTGTCATCCCTGCTGGATGGGAGAACAGGAATCCCAGTTTTGGCCCTGCCCCATGTTTTGGGTTGGGTGACGTGGTGCAGAGTGCCTGTGTCCCCTAACATCCCCTCATCTGGTGCTTGTGCCACCAGGGCTGTTCCCTGCATCAGAGGCATGAAGACAGTCAGGTCATGCAGACAACCTGATTTATCACACTGTGCCTTAGTCTTACACTTCATAAATCCTCAGTCACCTCACTTTCGACAGGGTTACTGCTGCTAGAAACTGAATGTTCTGCTTGCCCGCTGAAGGACGGATGAGCACCTACAGTGCAGGATTAGGGCTGAAATCCCCGAGCTGGTGCGAGCAGCACCAGTTAATCCCTGCCTCCCATTAACCCACAGCCCTGGCCAAAGCGTGAAGCCAAGCCAGGCGTGAAAGCCAAAAGTGAGGTTGGCCATTGCCCGTAGAGGGAGCTCAGCGGTGCCATCGGTCCCCAGAGAGGGCTGCGATGACACAGGGCTGTGGTTGCTGTCGTGCTGGGGCAATACTTACCGATGGCTCGGTTCTGAGATATTTTTTGCTGCCAACATCTGTGGCACGCTCAGCCAAGCATGCTTGCCCTCAAAATTTGCTCTTTCCACGTCTCCGGTCTGCGGTTGGCAGCTTGGTCACGCACCTTTTTGGTGTGATAAAGCCCTGTCAGCAAACCCGGGTGAGTGCCGTCAGCTTTCTGAAGCAGAACATAGGTGACTTCATGGTGTCACACGCATTGAAGGGAAATACCAGGGGTGGGCAGCGAGGCGGGAGTGCGAGCTGGAGGTAGGAGCCTTGCCCTGGGCTTGTGCTACAGCTGACCTGCTGAGCTCAGCTCTGAAATATTGATTTCGTCTTGGGATCCAGAGGGGGTCACTATTTCAGCCCCTTTATCCACTTTTCTGCCATTTCTTCTGTTCTGGAAGGTCCTCTGATGTACTTCAGCTGAGCTGGCTGGGGCATCTGCCCCCAAATATTGCCCCCTCTCATAGCAGAAATCATGGGGGCTTGCTTAGGTGCCAACACCAACTCTGAGTCAGCTGGACCCCATACATGGGATGAGGTGGTGGTGAGGCAGAGTGCAGCAGAGTAACAATACTTCTCAAAAAATCCTATACATTTTTTAGGTTTTCAGACACACCTTGTCACTCCAGTCATAGAATCCTTATGGTTGGAAAAGCCCTCCAGGATCAGCTGGTCCAACCATCCCCCTACCACCAATATCACCCACTGAACCATGTCCCCAAGCACCACGTCCAACCTCTCCTTGAACACCCCCAGGGACGGTGACTACACCACCTCCCTGGGCAACCCGTCCCAACGCCTGACTGCTCTCTCTGAGCAGAAATGTCTCCTCATTTCCAACCTGAACCTCCTCTGGCACAACTTGAGGCCATTCCCTCTGGTCCTGCATGGTAAGGATAGACTTCCAAAGCAGAAAATGCTCACATCATCAACGCCTGACTACCAGCTGTGAATATTTGCAGGCGAGCAGCTAGGAAACGTTGCTTGTTTTGCCTAGTAGGAACATTAGTGAAACTGTCAGAGTTTGCTCCTCTAGGTGTAAAGGCGTTTGAGTACTTTTGGTTTCTGTACCCTTGGTCCACGTCTCCTTGGAGAGACTCCTCACGTGAGTTGTGGAGGCTTAAATATGAAATGCCGAGAGGAGCTTAAAAGGATGTGGCATCCAAACCCAATCTGAAAACAGCCATGTCGCATGCCTGAAGCCCCTGCAGTGTCACAAAAACCTTCATCTACATGTGTAATGAATCCTACAGTGCAAACGTGTTTATGTTTTTTTTTTTTGTTTTTTGTTTTTTTTTTTTTTAACATAACTCAAGCGTACAAGAGTTCTTCCATGTAAAGTTAAAAATCTCTCTTTGATTTCCAAGTCTTCATCCCTATCCCTGTTCCAAGCCCTTGAAACACAGGACTAAATAGCTTTTTGTAACAATGATTTTGAAATAAAATTTTCCTTCTTTGTAATGATCCATATTAGGTGATCTCTTTTTGATCAAATTTTCAGCGACCTTCAGCTGAAGGTAAGCTCAGTCGTAGGAAATATCTTGTCAAAGAGGGAATCCTTGCTGAAAGTGTGAGCTGCTGAAGACAGAAGATATGAGTGGAAAGTGGTGGTCAGGGATAATAAGCCAGCATTTGGCGTGATCATGTCACTGCTTCATCACACATAGCAATTTCCACTTAGCGCTGTGTCTGCCAAATCCAACCCATTCTCATGGCAACACCCTTTTCCCTTCTTTGTAAGCCATCAGTGAAGGGGAAAAAGGGGTTTACATGCTCAGCTATAGAAGTGGGTTTTTGGTAATTTTACCTTCTGGTCTTCCACGCTCCACATCTCAGTAGATGCATCGTGGATATATAGATATGAACAGTCAGAATAGGAATGTGTGTCATGAAATTAAAAGTAGAGTGAACTTAATAACCTGAAATACAAAAAATTTACTTGAGATGAGTTGCTGCTCTTTGAACTGTCATTCAATCAGACCACAAAATCATAACAATATCCTGCAATGACATAAAACATCAGTTGATGAAGATTTCTGCCAGTAATAATCGAGTGAGGTGACAGAGCAGGGACCTGATTAGTTCCTTTTGGCTTGAAAATGCAATGAATCTCTAAGAGGCTCCTGATTTTCCTCCAGGTTTTGGAGGACTGAAGATGAATTTGAGTGAAAAGTCCTATGCTTCAGTCCTCTTCTTTCTGCTCGGTTACATGGCTTCAAGAGAGGCTTCTCTCAGGGTGTTCCTCCACAGAGACTGTGATAAAACTAGTTTCATGGACTTTTTTTTGGTTATAAAAATACTTTCATTCCAAAATTCCACCATGAGAACCGAGGGTGCTGATGGGGAGACAGCACATGCACTGGCCTTTCCCCTCCAGTTTGTGGCTGGCTCACGGATAACAGAGTCCTTCCTCCTGCTTCCCTTTTTATTTTTACACTTCTGGTCCCTAATAATGAAACGAGGGGTGTTAGGTTTGTCATTAAAAGCTATTATCTTCTACAGGCAGAGAGGAGGAGCAGAGCCAGGTGGAGGAACCCCAGCAATGTAGTGCCTGCGGAGCCCCCAGCCCAGCTCCTCCAGAGCTGTCCAAAAAGGATGGTCAGTCCAGGGCTGGGGTTGAGACCCATCAGAGGAGTTGATGGGAAAGGAAAGGATCCAGGGAGAACAGTGAGGAACAGACAGAAGAAAATAAGAGGAGAGAGGTTAACAGGAGCTGACTGCTACAGAGCCTCATCCCTCCAAGAGCTTAAACATGTATTTACTGACCAGATGTGACACACTGACATAGCAGAGCAAAATGCCCCTTGGGGCATTTTGGGAAAACCCCAAGGGACTGGTGTGATCATGTCACTGCTTCATCACATGTAGCAATTTCCATGTAACCCTGTACCTGCAAAATGCAACCTGTTCTCATGGCGATGCCCATGCAGAATTTAGCCCCTAAATTCTGCCAAGCCCTTACTCTGTGCATACTAAGGCTTTATAAATACCCATGTCTTAATCAGGTTTGATGGGATTTTCATGGGATCAGCATAAGACACTTCCAGTGCTTCAACTCCACCATGTGTGAAACAATCTTCATCCAAAAACCCAACTTCAATTCTCACAACCCCAGTGGGTGCTCTCACATTACAGCGTGACACCTTGATGTGCCATCGTCATCTGCAGCTACTGCTCTGCTGGTGGTGGGAAAGCCCTTCCAGGCCCTTTAAACTGAGGAAGAAAAATGCTCACAAATTCACAAATACTTTATATTTTCTTCAGAACCTCTGGTGCCCAGAGGAGGCCTAGACAAAAGGCAGTGCAGTATGGCCATAGAGATGGCCTACCACGTATGTCCAAGGAGTCTACCCAGGAGAAAAGCCACTCCAAGGTCCAAGCAGAAGGCAAGGTCAGAGCTGGGATTGAAGACCAACACTCCTACATAGCTCAGGCAGGGACAGTGGGCCCAAAGCTGAGCTAAAATGGGCCTCCTGGGGGAAAGGCTGTGAAGGGAGGCCCAAGGTGAGGCTGGTCGTGACCAGTAAGGCCTCTTAGTACCCAAAGGGCCCTGACAGGGTGTGCATGGGTTTTCCAACTGTAGTACATGTCAAGATGGGATCTCAGACAGGAATGGGGAAAGCATCCCAGCTCCCTGCACCCTGCGGCCCACCAGGAGGACTTCCCGTGGGCACCTACTTTCCCTTTGCCCATCCACTTAAGTACGTAGGGAGCCCCTAGAGAACGTAGGGGTGGATCGTGTAACTGAAGCAAAAGGAGGTTAAAGCATGAATCCCATGTCCTGTCCTCATTTTGAAACCCTGTTTGTCTGCCTGACTTTGCAGCTTTCTGATCTCTGCCATTTGATCTGTGTGAGGCACGTGGACCTGTCCTCAGATGAGTTTGTGGTGAGAGAACATTAATATTAGAAAGCGGGGAAGGGAAAAAAAAGCTGTCTGATCTTTTTTTTTTTTTTTTTTTTTTTTTTTGCTTCTCTCTTTTTTTCCCGTATCGCTTTATCTGTCTGAACAAACTGTGTTAGCTGACTTGGGATCCTGATGACGTGGTATCTGCCCTCCCATTTCTGGGGGTAGACGGAAGGAAGTGGGCTAGATAAATTAAATACCAACTCCTAACCTTGAGTCAGGTAAGCTAGCTTTATGCAATGGAAAAGGTGGTAGTGGCTGAACTGTGCTATAAAAAGGGCACCACGGCTGGCTTTGAGGCATACGGAGGCTGAAAGAGGTCTCGGAGAAGAACTTGCACGCTCTGTGTGCGCTTGCCTACAGCAGAAGAGAGGTTGCAATGGCTTTTGCCAGCTATGCTGCAATGGTAAGTCCTTATATCTGGTGTAAGTGCTCAGATATCCTACTAGCTGCAAGACAAAAACTGAATGTAGATCCCATGATGTAGGAGCAACTCTTGTCGGTCTTTGTGAGAGCTAAATGGGTTGCGAGGTGTCTGATAAAGCTTTCATACCCGAGCTTTTGCAAGTAGATTTGTTTCTTGACTGCCGAGGCAAGCTGTGTCCAAGATGTGAGCAAGTTGGCTGGAGAGGCAGCGGGCTGTTATTTATCTGTAAGGGCATCACTGCTCATATGTGACTGGGAGAGACAGGCCTTCTCTTAGAGAACTTGCTATAAAAATTACTGAAAGTTGAGAAAAGGAGGAGGTACAGTGAAGTGAATGTCTTTGTATTTAAACTCCAGCTTGGGTAGTATTTGCAGTACTGTCAACTCTTTTGATATTCTTAAAAACTTTGCATTTATTTATTTTTATTATTATTTTTCCTTGCTCCTGGAAATGGACTGCGAATATCAAATTTCTTTGAAAAAAAGTGTTATTTCTAGCAAGTGGCTTCTAGGTGGGCAACTTTTCCTGGCCTAGGAAAGCATAAGGCTTACCTGGAGGTCTAAACTTAAGGATGGGGTCAGGTGAGTCCTTACCCCCCCTTGTAGACCAAAAGACATCGCTGTTTGACTCTGGAGGAGGAGAATGTTTCATAACTCATTGGAGAGATGCTCTTACTGGTGCAGTGCCAGCTGCAGTCAGCATTTGAATCAGAATTTAGCCTCTGTTACGATGAGTATTGTTCACATACTTGCACTACTTTTTCATGCTCACCCAAATGAAAGTATGAAGATCACCCACTGCCTGTTTATTGCCCAGTCTAGTCAAGCCATGGCTCCTCGTGCTCTCTCCCAGCTGAGCAGAGACTATGATACTTGTTTCTTCTCCAGTTCAGGTCACTCCTTTTGGTGCTGGTTCTAGCACTCACCGTAAGGAGCTCACCCCACAGGAGGGTAGCTCATCCTCAACCCAGCAACGGTGGCTCTGAGAGACTTAATGGAGACTGCCAGAAGGATCCCAAATTCCCCACAACGGTGAAAGTTGACGTTCGCATCAGCCGTTCAGATTCTGCCTTTAAGATAATCCATGATGTGAGGAACCGGTCTCTCGCTCCTTGGGATTACAGGTAACTCCTTAGATGGTATCTAAAATGCAACAGCTGTGCTACACAGCTGTCTTTTGTGGTAAAAAATGGCTTGTTCTTAGTATATGCCTGGAGTCTTGTGAATATCACAAGCTCCTCTTGACACACACATTCATTTTGGTGCTGGGTGGTGTTTCTCCAAAATAAACTGCAATGCAATGGGACATCATGGGAATGGTTTCTAATTGCCAGTCTTTGTCAAGGAGTTATTCCTTTAGGAAAAGAAGAATGTCAGTACATTGTAATTTTACATTTTCCTGACTGAAACAAATTTTTGAATGCTGAAATTAAAACAAATAAATATGAATGGTCCAGTTGCTCTCAGTTCCCTATTTCAATCAGCTCCACTCCATTCATATACTAAAAAAGATATGGCAATATTAGTTATCAAAATTGATTCCACTCATAGATAATAGTTCTAAAAATGTTAAGGAGACTGAAATTCTTTTGTCATGTTTCAAAATGAAGCTATACAGGTAAATGGGTGCTGTCACGGAGGTAAAAAAGAAGATCCTACCAAAACATGTGCACAGGCAAAGAGCAAACACATAAAACCCTTTTGTGTCCCTGTCCTCAGGCTCGACAAGGACCCCAACCGCTTCCCCCAGGTGATCGCTGATGCCAAGTGCCGCCTCTCTGGCTGCGTGAACTCACTGGGGCAGGAGGACCGCAGCCTCAACTCCGTCCCCATCAAACAGGAGATCCTCGTCCTCCGCCGGGAGCAGCAGGGCTGCCCGCCCACCTACCGCCTGGAGAAGAAACTCATCACGGTGGGATGCACGTGTGCTGCTCCGGTCGTCCGCTACCAGTCCTAGGAGGAATTAGCAGTGGGTGCAACACTGGGAAGAAGAGGTGTCCCCTACAAACACCTCGCAGGAGAAATCCCAGGTGCCCACTTGCATCCCAGGAATTCAGCGTGACTTTTCCTTTTGAACCTGAGCAAATTACCTCCTGAGAGTACTAATTCTTGTTGTTCATTTATGGATTTTAGCACCAGAATTGACAGTAGCTAATGGGGGAGGAGGGAAAGGGAAATGGAGGAAAAGTTGTGTTTGTGACAGCAAGCAGGGAGGGAGTAAAGCAGTGCTTACTTTTTCACTGCAGCTCATATCAGTTTTGTGAATCAAATGAATTACAGTTTCAAAAGATGATATCAGCAGTAAACTGCCCAAATATATAGTCAGCAGTGTCACAAAAATCCCCACTCCTGCACCTTCTCCCTCCCTTCCTCATCCCCTTTTCCTCCTCCAGCCATCACTGCTCCCTCTTCTAGTGTACGTCTGGCATAAGTGCCACCAGGCCTGGTGCTCATCACACTCTGCTTTTGTGTCACTGCTGCTCCATGGACTTCATTGTCCACGGAGTCAGCAGCTGCTGACTTATTGCAGAGCAATCTGAGAGAGACTTGATCCCACTTTGAGTGGTAAAACAGCAAAGAACTAATAAGTGTTTATATTTCTATTTATATTTTCTATTTATGATTGTATTTATGACATTGTATGTGCTGAGAGTATCCAAAACCTGGTAAAAGTTTATTTGTATTTATTCAATAATTTATCAGCCGAATAAAATAAAATCAGTATTTTATTTAAAAGAGTGTTGTTTCATGATAGCTCAAAATGAAAGCAGACAGGGAAGGGGTTTGTGCTGAATAGCACTGCGAGATTTCAGTGCAGATCAGGCTCTGGTGCAGTGATATGAGTAAGAGGGAGGGCAAGAGAGCTTGCAGTCTAAACAGATGAAAAGATGCAAAAAAAGGGCTGAAAGCGATAAAGTGAGGTTATACAGGCAATGGAGCCAGTGGGAGAGTCTCCAGGGGTGGTGGGAAAAGAGGTGGGGGACAACGCATTGCAGGGCTGAAATTTGGGATGGGGTCTAGCCTTATTCACAGGAGATGGGAGAAGTCTGCCCTGTCCTCTTCCAACCAAGATGTCATCTTCTCTCCATCCCTTCTCCTCCACCAGCTGGATGGCTGGCTGAGCAGGAATGCAGGGAAATGAGCAAAGGCAGCTTCATCCCACTGCTCCTTAGCCAGGCTGACATAAAAGTGGGGCGTGAGGAGCCCAAATATCCAGGAAAAAAGAAAGACAGCTCCAGGGCAGGGCTGCCATAGAGGTGACCTGTCTTAGTAGTGGAGGAACTGTTGTTGAAAGTATTAGTCTCTCCCTCAGCTACACAAGGAGCACAGCCTAGCAGTTTAGACTTGCTGCCTGTTAATTTATCAGATTTTTTTTTTTTTTTTTACCGTTCATGGAAATCCAGTCAAGATTCAGCATTACCTCTGACTCTCCTCTGCTGGTGAGGGCATGAAGCTTCTGTTTCCTAGTTCACCTGCATTTATACCTGGGCACTCACCTGCACCTAGTTCATATGCATTTATACCAGGCACTCATATTTCATTTCAGCTGCATTTAATCCCCTTTAAATTAGGTAGAGGTAGAGCCCGGGAGGCCCCCTTGTTTCTCCCCCTGCATAGTTTGCAAGTCATCGGGTCCAAATCTTTCCCTTTGTGCTTGTTTGTCAAGCAGGGTGTATCCCCTGAGAGCCTCGCTGAGCCAAGTAAGACAAGCCCTGGGTGGCATCGTGGGGAAACCATCTCCTTCAGTTACAAGCAGCCATACTCATCTGCGGCAGCGGCTGTTTCGTTATGACCACCGAGCCCTTCATGTGGTGGGATGCAAACCCAGGGAGGTGTTCTCAGAGCACTCCTCTTACAGTAACCGCTGACCAGGAAGTCGCATGCTGACACCCGGCCCTTGCTCGTGACCTATTTCTCTCCCTCTCGATCAGTATCGCCTGTGGGGTTTGTCCTTGCTTGTTATGCAGGGAGAAAATTAGCCTGAAGGTCTCTCATCCCTTAATTATGGCAGCTGAACGGTGAAAGCTCCCGTGCTGATGCTCCTAAACACCAATCAGCTCACCCTAAGGTTTGCTCTAATGGGATGAGTGGTGAAGTGGCTAATTAAGACAACACAGAAGTAGTTAATAAAGGAAGTCTCGCCCATGGGTCGTGAGGTTTTGGAGCTGGCTCTGTCAGCTACAAACCACACGCCTCTCAGTGAGTGCGCTCGTGTGTGGGGATTGTTTCTAAATAAAACCGGCAGCAAGGGTTATTTCCTCCTAATGGCATCATTCTTAGAGTGCAGCTGGTTGTAAATAAGCCTCTAGCTGATGGTATTTTTTTTTTAACTGCTGGCTTTTGCATTGAGGTAGGTGGTTGGCTTTGATTCCCAGCAATCTAAGAACATAGGGCAAATGCCATCAGGCTTCCTGTAAACAGCACAGTCATACCGGCACCGCGGGCAGGCATGTCGAACAGCTGAGCACCAGACTTTGGCTAAGGGCTCTGCCTGATTTCCCTCCCCGTGCAGCCACCCAGGCCTTCAGTCAACGCACCCGGCCTAGCTCTGGGTTGTCCTAAGAGCAAATCCCTTCCTCTGCTCCTGGTGCAGCTGGGCATCCCCTGGCTCTGAGGTGTTAGAGCAGCCTTCAGGGGCTTGGTTGTTTCACCAGCAGGACAAGACACTGCTCTAGGTGTAGAAGCACAGCGCCTTCTTGTAACTCGCTGAGCTAAGCCTCCCGTGGTCCCAGGTTGGTGTCTGAGCCTTGAGGCCTTTCCTATTTCTTTCCTCTTCTGCTTGCCTCTCCCTAACCTCTTTCTCACACATCCCTGAGCTGTGCTCATTTGGCAGTATTTGGAGCCCAAGCTGGGGTCCCCTTGTGTGTAGCAGCTCTCAGGGGATGGTGAAGATAGCACGTTGCAGAGACCCCTGCATTGGCACAGGCTGGGAGGCACCACAGTGGCATGAGCCCAAGCCAATGCCTCCTCCCAGATTTGTGCTGCAACCTGTGGATGTATTTTGGTGTGAGCAAGGCTTCTCTAGGCTCCCTGCTACAAAAAATACAGGGATTTCCTGGAAAGAGTCCAGCGGAGGGCCACAAAGATGATACGAGGCCTGAAGCATCTTCCCTGTGAGGAAAGGTGGAGAGACCTGGGTCTGTTCAGCCTTGAGAAGAGAAGACAGAGGGGGGAATCTCATCAATGTTTATGAATATCTGAAGTGTGGGAGGCAGAGGGATTTGGCCAACCTCTTTTCAGTGGTTTGTGGGGACAGGACAAGGGGCCATGGCCACAAAATGGAGTCCAGGAAGTTCCACACCAACATGCGGAAGAACTTCTGCACAGTGAGGGTGATGGAGCACTGGGACAGGCTGCCCAGGGAGGTTGTGGGGTCTCCTTCTCCGGAGATATTCAAGGCCCCTCTGGATGCCTCCCTGGGCAACCTGCTATAAGGAACTGCTTTGGCAGGGGGGTTGGACCCGATGGTCTCTGGAGGTCCTTTCCAACCCCTACAAATCTGTGATTCTGTGACCCTTGACAAGAGGCAAATGTTCTTGGGGGTGTTCAAAAGGACTACAGACCAAATCAGCCTGTTTCCCAGAACTATTGTTTTTAAAAGTGCATAGAAATTAAATATATAAATATATATATATAAATCAAAAGTAGCGAGCTTTAGGGCTCATGACAAAAATCAAGAACTGTACAAGTGCTGTGTTTGCTAAGCCAAGGGAGCAATGGCTTGGCAAGTCAGAAGTAGAGATGACTTGTTGGGAATTAGGCCTAACAGACAAAACTCTGAGGGCATGAATGGTTTGCTGGTCAGGCTTTTGGAGATCTATGGTGTGGTGGGAACACAATGAATGCCGGTGATGGGGTGAGTTTCCACACCAGCTGTGAGTCCTGGCTGTCCTGCAAGGTGGCCTGACAGGCCCAGAGCAGAAACCAGTGCCCGCATCACCATCACGGGATAAAATGTGAGCCTTGCCTTTGTCTTCCTCTCTTGCTCCTTAACCTTCTTCTGTAACTTCTTTGCTCTCTGGTAATTATTTTTAAACTTGTGCTGCTTCAGAATAGTCTAGGTGAGTGGTCCAAGACCACATCTTGTATAACACTGTTCCATTTGGCTGTGAATTTTTATTTTTATTTTTTTTTTCTTCTCTTGTAACTTCAATGAAGGATTAAGAGTACACCAGATGCTCTTTGGGGGTCATGAACTAAGCAGGCTCCACTCAGTGTTTTCTGGACATAGATTTTTATGAGTGAGAATTGATGTTTTTTATATCAAGTACAAAGCATTATGTTTCTGTTTTATCTACATTCTTACTAAGCACAACTTGTTTGTATCGTGACCAAGGTTCCTTGTTCCAGTAAATGAGTAGCGATGGATTGTCTTCTGAGTTGCCCCTACTATTATTTTTTGTTTGCTTTTTCTTTCTGGTTTCAGAAATCTGTACTGTACTCACTTATCTTGACCCCCTTTACATGGTAAGGCATGCCAACTGTTGATTTTATCTTCTTTCACAAGCATCTGGCATCTTCCCATCTTGCTTTGGTAATTGGCACTGATGAGTGTAGTTATCTGATTATTTGCCACACAAATCCAACCTCAAGCTTCTCTTGCTGCTGTGTTTTACTCATAGATTTCCAAGCACGCTGACTGGTAAGTCTTTGCTACTTAAATTTTGCAAGCTGACATGAAACTGAGATGTGAAGCAGTGCTGGACTGGAAATCTTTTTTTTTTTTTTTTTTTTTTTTTATGAAGAGGTTTTTGCAGCAATTTCCACCCCCGCTCACTATGGTATCATGAAAGGACATCAAATCAGCAGGAATTTGCATTGAAACTCTCCAAAACCAGCAAGAGCAAGCATTAACTGCTGAACCTCAAACTGATAAGGCTGTGCAAGGGTGAAAGAGGGGTCCTGCTCTCCTCAGTCCCCTGCTATGAGAGCTATGGACTGTAGCCGTGAACATTTGCCCAGAGAAACAAAGCACTGATTAGGTCACCTCAGAGTCAGGTGCATTGGTTTGGGATCGCCCTGCACCTGCTCAACTGGGTTTAGCAAGATAAAGAAAGACATTTTAGCTCATGATGCCAGAATTTCCAAGGGAACTTAGAGCAGGATAGAAAATAGTCCTGGGGCCAAATGAATTCAGGCAGTTATACTATTAAATACTTCTGTAGGAGTGTGTACATCACCCATGTACCTTGCAGAGGAGAGCATGAACCTAGCACGAGGCCAAGTAAATAAAAAACGGTTGTGTCCTGAGGCCCAGATTTCATTGGGTTGGTAAATAAATGCTCCAAGGGAGAACAATGCTGCAGGAAGAGGGACTGGAGTATCTTTGCAGCACAAAGATGTCCGTGTTCTAGTGCTTCAGCTGCATGACCTGGTTCTGACTTTTTCCACATCGTAGCTCTCTCAGAATTGCTAAGAAGTCTCTATTACTCATGTGCCAACCCCAGCTAAGCTTCATATCACTACGAGGTAATGATGGGTCCTTCATTTTGACTGTTAGAAGTTACTTGGGTTGTTGCAGACAATTTACCAAAGTTCTTTCTATAGCAGGTGGTAGGATGTTGCGAGGTTATCTAATGGACTGTGCAGACAGCTTTATTTCAGTCTGGACTGAAATTTATTTAACTTCTTGAAAACCTCAGGGGTTTTCACCTCCCTGAGAGCAGCAAACAAAACATCCGGGTCTTTGCAAACCAGCCTGCCCTTTGAAACACGGAGCATTGCCAGGTTCCTCGCTGTATCTTTTGGCAGTCAGTTCCATGCTCAATATTCCTGGGACAGCCAACGAGGTGAACTTCAGGGCCTGCAGGAGACCTTAAGGAGCAATAGCTGGAGATAAGGTAGGAAACGAGAACAGTTCGGATCTCATATTAATAGATACCTATATACAGGCAAAACTTTGTTCGCATTTGATAGAAATTTAAGCACGGGCAGGACTTCACTGTTTTGGTTGCAGATACTGTGATTGCTCACAGTTAATTAACATTTTCCAGGCCCAGTGTATATCTGCTAGGTCAAAGGATGCTATGAAATCCCTGCCCGTGCTGTGAGTTTACACTGTACAAGCTGACACAGAGTAGATGAGGGAGGGCTTAGGTTCATTGTCGCAGCTGGTGGGAATAACTCCCAGCAGGAACAGCTGGGATGTTAACATCCCCAGTTAGCCCAGCTGGATGTGGGGAAGATGCTTTCACCAGAAAGGGCCTTGCCTCTCGTTTGGGATTTGCATCCCCAAGCTCTGCGTCTTCAGAAATTGTGTACTTTCTGTTGCGTTTGCCCATGGCGTTTTGTTGGTGCCAGGCAACGTCACACATCCCTGAGGCGGCAGCAAAAAAACACCCATGTCTTTGCAAACCAGCCTTCCATTTGAAACACGGAACATCTTCATCTGGGTGCATCTAAATCAAAATTCCTGCAGCGTAAGACTTCCACCCACGTAAGCAACCTCACGGCTGTGGTAGAAGTACTGTGTCAGTGAGCTCTACTTCGAAGCACTGACAGCAAAAGCATTGGAAGGACGTAAGACTGGAGGAAACTGCAGTTGCGGTTAGCATTAAGCATTTTCTCTCACCAGCAGCTAATTACTTCAATTATCCACCTGACTCATGCCCCGTTCCTTGTCTACCCGGTAGTAACCAGCATTAAACACAGTATAAACGCATTCTCCATTTTGGGGGAGGGAGTTTCCTTTCCACTGAAGAAGCATTCAGAGTGTTACGTTGAACCTTTCTTTGCAAACTCCTTTCCAATCACATAATGAGGTAGACAACTGGGACCCGCTTTGCTTTTTTTTTTTTTTTTTTTTTTTTTTTTTTGCTGGTCTGTTTTGTCTGTCAATCTGTGTAGTGCCATTCGGTAAATCATTTCCCTCCAGGTGTCTTTAGTTTCTCTATTGCTAAAACGATGTTAATGATGCGAGCCCTAACTCTTCTATACGGTTTATAGTCTACTGAAACAGAGCTAGATGTTATCATGAGAATTTTTGGTTTTAGTTTCATACTAATCTGTTACATGGTCCTAATGGAATGGAGTGATTTCTTGCTTTATGAGAAAAGGTTTCTTCAGAAAGGAAGGAGAATACCACAGAGTTATTTGGCTGATTTTTTTTTATTGCATAGAATCATAGAATCACAGAATGGTTTGGGTTGGAAAACTTTCAAAGATCATCTACTCCCAACCCCCCTGCCATGGCCATGGACTCCTCTTGCTAGACCAGGCTGCCCAAAGCCCCATCCAGCCAGGTCTTGAACACTTACAGGGATGTTCATCCACAACTTCTTATTGCATGAAGATAAATAAACAGACACAATATTATTTTTTTTTCCACTAGCATAAATAGAATTAAATAAATAGACTTTTCAAAGTGTTAACTAAAGATGTGTAAAGAGTTCCCGTTACTCCTTCAGTGGAGCACATGAAAGGATCCAGATTCTGAATTCAGAGTTTTAAAAGGGAAAAGGATTTGAAACAAAACCCAAATCAAACAAACCAAAAGCACAAAACTGAGAATCTAGCTAATCGTTATGGCTTGATTCCATTCTGCAGAGATTTTCATCGCTGTTAGGCAAGGAAGTCCTCCTGCTGTGGCTCCTTGCTCTTGCACCACAGGCTCCCTTTAAGCCTGGTGCTGGATCAAGGGGGTGACACAAGTGCAGCCCACGGTGATAATTTTCTTCTCCAGCCGGTATGAGTGGTGGCAGCCTTTCAGCTCCCGGCGAAGGACGAGGATCTCCTGATTGATGGGGATGGAGTTGAGGCTGTGGTCCAGCTGCCCGGCTGAGTTCACACACCTGGAGTAGCGGCACTCAGCATCAGCAATCACCTGGGGGAAGCGGTTGTGGTCCTCATCGATCCTGTAAGTTGACATGAAAGGATAGGGAAGTATTTGCAGTGGAAACGCTGCTGCATCTCTGGAGGCATGATAGTCTGGATCATTATGGGCTAACAAGCCTAGGAACCTCTACTCACTGGAAGGTTGCCTATGAAGGGCAGTAGACCCTCTGCTATTTCTGCTTTTTAAGTATAATTAGGGTATAAGTATGTGCATACTGCAGGTTTTTAAGTGCACGTCATCCATGCAAGGACTGTGTCCAACTACCTTGGCAAAGGACTCGCTTCAAATAGGCGTTGACTTTGAAAGACTGATTAGAAGTGGCTTGAGTTTCACAACATGCTGGAGTGACTGACAAATCCAAAGACTTCAGCTTTCCCCCAGAACACAAAATGTTATTAGGGCCTGATGCTGGTGTTATTAAACCACCACTGACTTTAGTACAATGTCAGTCGTCCAAAGTTTTTGATCATCTCTTATGTAAAGAATACATTTTACGATAAGATCTGCTCCAGTATGCATCATAATATAATTAAATTACAGAGGTAATTTGCTTTGTCTTCTGCCTAGACCATACTTTTGCTCTGTGCTCCTTTCTGCGTTGATTAGCTTCAAAGAGGTCTGTAGATACTGCCCAAATCTCTCAACAGTGAAGTAAAGAAAATAAAGATATGGGCATAGCTTTTGCATCCCTCTTGACCAAGGCAGTCATTTCTAGACAATAGGGACAGTGATCGTACCTGTAATCCCAGGGAGACAGCGAACGTTTGCTGATATCAAGAGTCACTTTGTTATCCTGGTTCATGTTGCTGATGCTTATGTTGACTCTCACAGTTTGAGGGAATTTGGCATCTTTTTGGGTCAGGCATCCAGCATCTGCTTGCTTGAAGAGGCTCTCTGGCTTGAGCCCGGGCCGTATCACCTTCCCGTAGGCAGAACTGCTGGCTGACAGCATGGCCAGCAGCACTAACAGCAGAGAGCTGGACTGAAGACAAACGGTTTATTTAGGACACAACGCCATACAACTGCTGTAACACAGCTCTTCTGTGGGGCTGGGAACAGTCAGCCTAGCTGGTATTAAAGTCCATGCTGTGGGTTGGGTGAATTAGGGGAAAGCGTGCCAAATATCACATCCATTTCTGCATGGACTAATTCTTACAGCACTGAAAGATATGGTATTCACTCAATTGTAATTTGGTGATATGCAAAATCTCAATTATAAAAAATAATTATAAAAAAATATAAAAAATAATTATAAAAATAATATAGATAAGAGATACCAGAAAGAATATAGCAACAAAAAGACACTCTGAGTTTTCAATTTATATCTTGACTTGGGTTTATGTGGCAGTAGCTCCACTCCCTAATAAACATGTACAGTCTCATTGTTGTCCCATGCTGGTGCTATTCAGCAGCTTCCTGTTTCAGTTCTTTTTGATAACTGGTGATTTTAACAAGCATTTTAAAGGTTGGTGCCCCATTCCTGAGAGTCAGCTATAAGAATTTAAATATGTCCCTATTAAATTAGGAGAAAACAAAACACATGGCAAGTTCTTACCAGAGAAGCACGAAGGGTTGGAGACATCTTCCTCTTCTTACTGCAGCTGATGCTTGTGCTGGGCTCTGTCAAACTGAAGGCGTCTGGGTGCATTTGCTGCTGGTCTTTTTATAAGAGCTTTCGTGCTGTCCTAGTTAAAGGGGAGTAGGTGTTTTTTTTTCCCAACCTTGACTGTGGTTTCTGACCTTACACTAAAAAGTGTCTGTGTATAAATTCCATAGGTGGAAGACAGGATATGGGCTTACCTTTTCTGAGATCTGCTGGTGATGTCATTGCTTCAGCTAAGTCACTCAAGTAGTAACAAAATTCCATGTTGATGTTAGAAAACCACTGAACTGTTGTCACGCACGCTGCAGCGAGTGGATGCAAAGTATGCAATTTTGAACTCGGACTACAGTTGACATCTACTCAAATGCACATCAACGTGCTTCACGGACTCAACTCGAGATGCTCTAAGTATCAAAAGCACCGCTGTCACCAGCACCGATGGCTTGGATCCATGTGGTGCTTCACCAGTCTGGTGTCTTTTTATTCTGAGGTCGGCAGATGTAGGACAGCTGGTGCCCGTCCAGTTGCTCTCCACACTTATCATGCCCAATCACCTGCTTTGATGTCTGAAAACCCAGATTTCTTCTCAAATTTTATTTTATTTTTCTCAGTTTTCGCAGCCTGGATCAGGTTATATTTGTTGATGTATGTACCTCACCTCTGATATGACAAATTTGACCAAAATGTATTGTGACACTGAGTTTCCACATTTGATCATTCTCCATCTGAGAAGCAAAGCCCAAAACACTGTTTTCAGTTGCTTTTGAGATTGCTGTATTTTCATTTCCCTTCATGATCTTGCGCTATGCAACAGGGCTGTGATCCTACGACCACAGTCTGGGAAATGTGAAGGATGTAATTAAACCCTCAGATCCCAGGTTAGGGTTCAAGAGAAACCTTGTGAAGGCTGTGAGATGAAAACTGACCCTCTTGTAGGCAGGAAAAAGGGAAGAAACTGCAACCATCTGCTCCACGGTGCATTGTGGTAGATAGGTGATACCATGCTACAATATTAGGAGCTAAAATACCTCTCATTGTGTAGCCCCACAACTGCCTGCATCCCATCCCTGTGTTCTGGGTGATATTGATCACTGATCATGCTGTTTCTCCATCCTACAAGACCAATGTGTAGCAGCTGTACCCTACCCTGTTAGTATTTAAACATGCAAAGTTTAAATCCCTGTGTTCAGGGGGACAGACTCCACTGACATGGTGACAAGCAGGATCCCTTTCTCCCATCCAGGGGTTCGCGTTTTCCTAGATTTTCACTAAGATGCTGTCAGGGGATTGCAGTCTTGGAGATGTTGGGCTGCTTCAAGGTTGTCCCTCCTCTTGGCTTTGGGAATTTACAAAGGGAAACCCTAATACTTTAGTACCAGCTTCAGAGAGAGTCCTTTCCTGAGCTTCATCACAGCTGCTGTGATAGTAACTGCCTCTGTTTTTGTTTCTTTTTTAGGCAGATGTCTTGATGAGCTCTGAATGCTCATTAAAAGCAACGAGCTTGACCAAGTAAAAGCAATGAGCTTGACCAAGAGACCCTTCCTGCAGAGAGGGATGTCTGCGTTAACTCTCCTCAGCTTTTGGGGGATTTAAATTAACAGCTCTCTAGCAAATATTTTGGTCACTGGGATGTGTGGGATGCTCTGGGGCTGGGTGTTGCTGTGTGACCATTCAATATCCTTGGGAAGAACAGTCCACCCAGAGTGCTGCAAAACCTGGTACAGAGAGAGAGAGAGGCTCAAATCTGTCAGGATGCAGTTTCCCAGGTAATGATGCTGATCCAGATGGACTGTAAGATAGCAGAAATCAGCTACAACCGTGTTCTCTGATGATGCTTTCAATAAGCTGTCTGGAGAGTCAGTAATGAGTGAACGCAAAAGTGTTGATGCTGTTTGTAGGCTCAGTTTCAGAGAGATTCTTGAAGAAAGGGCTTACATCTCAGAAAGAAGAGGGAGAATATATAACACTTTGCTTTAGGAAATATTTCTCATTGATTTGCTCTGAGAGTGGGTGACAAGTTGCTAGGATGTGCACCTTACAGTAACACTTGGTGTAACAAACTCAATGATCTGACCCACTCCTCTTCTCAGCTCTAGTTTTCATCCTGCTTGCAGATGAAAACGTTGCAAATTATCTGTGCTTCATATTTACTCCTGAGTCTGAGTTTTCCCAGCTTGTGCAATCCAAAGGAGGATGCAAATGAGAGTAAAATTTACCTTGCAGTTTCTGGAATAGCCATGACCTAAATCAGCTTGTTTAAAAGATGCTGACGTTTGAAGAGTGACTTGTACAATTCAGTTTCCCTCTTAGAGTTAGAGCAGTACAGGTTAACGGAAAAGGTTCCCTCAGAAGGGGTTTTCTCTAATGCTCTTTACTGAAATATCCATTCAAACTGGGTCAGTTAAATTTGCAATTTTAGAAGCAAGAAAGATTTCAAAAGCCTGCAAGGTAGCGGAAGGTCAGGTTCAACCAGCCTGACCCTAAATCCAGGCTTATCTACTTTAAATGTGTCAGTGGTTTGCATTACCTCAGCACTTGAGAGGTGAATAGTTAAGCATTCAAACACAGCAGACGTAATGCTCACTGAAATGGTGAAAAACAAAAATACAAATAAAAACTTTCCATGGTTTGTTCTGAGCCACGAATGCACAAATTTGCAATTGTCAGAGGCAAGATGAGAGGCTTTTAGGAAAAAATACACATCTTGAAATGTTCTCAGCACGTCTGAATTATACAAATGAAACTCTCACATTTCTGATTCTCAGCTTTTTTTTTTCAGGTTAAAACAATTATTTGCCAATCATTCCTCATCTGGAGTGAAAAGAAAAACTAAGCATGATTTTTTCCCATGAGTTGAGAATTTAATGGAGTTTATTTTATTTTAACATTTAGTTCTCTCTTAACTAACAGTTTCAGTTCTACATGCAAAAAGGATTATATCTCGTGTTTTTTCTATTATGATATTTCAGGACATATGCAGCAATTGTTTTGATAATTTTGATAATTTTTTTGTGTATAGTCTTTCAGGCGGGTGCCACCGAAAGCACTGCGATATTACAGAGCTGCGTGCCCTGTGACTTCCTATTAGAAGCAAGCGAGAAGCAATTAGTGCCACATTAGCGGCACATTAGTGCCACAGAAACCACACTTATTGGAGAGCTGAAAACTAGGATGCTAAAAAAAGTCTACTGAAATGAGTGAAAGGTTATCTAAAGCCTTCTGAAATCAAAGCTAGCCCATCTCTGGGCTCTGGTGAAAGATTAAGTCGTTACTTCAGCACTTTACCCAGCTGAGATCCTTCAGGCATTCAAATAAATTGGCTTTGGTGACACTTTCTCCCCTCAAAGTCACAGTGTGAGTCAGGGGCAGAGTTCTTCTTAGCTTGCTGTAAATTAAAAGAGAAAAGGCAGATACACCCAAATACTTTTTTTTTTTTTTTTTTTTTTTTTTTCTCCCCAATCACAAGTGGTTAATTTTATATTTCCTTTGGAAAATAAGGAGTTTTTCTATTTATACATACAAATATATATATATATATATTTCCTGATGGAGAGTGTATTTACAGGTACACCTCTTGAGTACACATTCTTACAAATCCCTGTAAGTCAAGGCAACACCCCTCCACTTAATACAAGGTGTGAGTCCAGTGGATTTTGGAGGAAGACTCAGAACTTGATGGAACAAGGTCCTGAGCACCCTGATTCAACACTGAAGCTGAATTTCAGTTTAATTTAATTGCACTCTTGCTGTGCATGGACAGTTGTTTCAGAAACAGGTAGAAGTCCCCTCCAAACTTCTCAAATCACTGCGCCTTTGTCTCTCTCCTTGATCTTTACAGGAGACTTGTCAGAAAAAAAAAAAAAAAAAAAAAAAAAAAAAAAAAAGATAAGATGATAAGATAACCTTTTCCCTCTATTAAACACCTAAATTCTTCAAGCACATCTAAATCAATATCAGAGTTCCTCATCAGCTGTGGTCGCCATCAGTGGTTGGTACATCTGTAGCGTGATCTAATAGATGCTCGGTATTCAAGGAGGTGACTCAAAGGAAACAGATCACTCACTTTGGTTTTGGATTGCTGTGTGGAGTGACAGGGGAAAGAGAGGGCTTCCAGGTATGTGAGCTGGGCTTCGTGAGTAATGAGAAGCCTGCTCTGTAGTAATTAATAGATGATTAATACATAACTACGACGTGGTTCAGGTAAGTGAAGAAGGGCCCTAACTGCTCCGCATAGCCAGATCAGCAGCAATATTACTATTAGATTTATTGTAGTGCCTGAAGTTTCACTACAAAGTGAGGCCAAATTAGCAACTCATGCCTAAGGGAAGGGACAGTATTTCCTGGCCAACATGATATTTCTTCGTCTGTATGTACTTTAGTGAGAGTATGATTTGCTTTTCCTCTGGTAGCTTTGGATCTCTTGGGGATGAGGGTTCCCACAGGGGATGCCAAGATGGGGATGAAAGAAATAATATGGGACTGTGCAGAGTAAAGCAAGGAGGTACATCCTTTTTTTGTGGCATTTAGCTTTTAGATCAGCTTAACTCTACTGTGAAACCGCACCCTCCCTCACTTATCAGGGCCTTGAGCTACAGCAAAAAGAAGGAAAAAAATCATGGTTCTTCATCCGGGAGGCTTGGCTTCAGGAGAAGAAACATCAGGAAATGTGCTGCAGGGCAAACTGAACTGAGCATGAGATTTTGGAGAGCCGAAGGAGAATGAAATGGGGTGCCTGTGAGCAGGTCTTCAAAAAGGGTTGGGCCTTTGAGGTTGAAAGCATGAAAGGAGTGGACTGAAACCTAACAAGTGTGCAGTGGATCTGAAACTTTGATAAAGGTGGAATATCTATCAAAGGTAATTAGTAGGTGGGACCAAGGCTTGAACTGAAAGACCAGCATGATGTCTAACAAGAGGTACCAATGGAAGGATTCAGTGATAGTAGAGCTACAGCCAGTGGGGGAAAACAGCTTTGGAAAGAAAAACAAAAATGCCTTTGTGAGACATTGGTAAGAGTCCATTTAGGAGCCCTCCTCAAACCTAGCTGACACAGAAGGCACAAAAAGAAGGTCTGAAAAATGTAGTGACTGCCTGATGAGAGGGAATCTGGCTGATCTCAGGTCTCCAGAGGTGGCAAAGATCTCCGTCGATCACTTGATTTCATGTGTCCTCTCACGTATTTGTTTTTGTGGTTATCAGTGATGTAAATGACCAAATAGATTTGTTATCGATTAAAAATCTAAGCTCTCTGTCAGTGCTTTATTTTTGTGGCATCTAAGACATCCTGTGGCAATACAGTTCACATCCAATTATAAACTGTATGTGTTAAAAAAAAAAACACAAAAAAACCCTTTTAAGCAGAAACTGGCTCATATTCAAGCTGGCAGAATGGTTTATACAATTAACTCATTTTGAAATTCTCTGTTTGCTGTGTTATCTGCTCGCATCCTGTGTCTCGCCCACACCTTGGCCCTAATGAACAGCAGCAAGCAGGGGGAGAAGGGGTTAAGTTCCCCTCTGCTGCCCCATAGCACTCCAGCACTATGCCCTCTGCATCCTCAGCACCACCCCATTAAAAAACTCCCAAATGTCCACCTCAGGGACCTCAGATTTCAGATGCTGCAGGTTGAGACATTTATTTCCCATCCCCGGAGTGTACAGGGACAAGCTGTGCTTTTGCTGTTCCCTCTTGGGCCAGGCTTTCAAGAGCTTTTCTTGCTCTGCATAGGAGGATCTAGGCTTGACCCACCCCTCTCTTGCAGTGTGCTCCTCCAAGCCCAACGAAATCTTCCATGCAGAGTTTTAATTTCCTGATGCTCACAGACAATCTGAGAGGCAGGGAGCTGGTACAAACCACCTCTTCACAACTGCACCACTGAGAAATTCACCTGCTTGCTGAGGACCACGTGTTCTCAGGCAGTCCCCATTTCCAGGCAGTCTATATCCTACTCTTTGGATAATCTTTCTTCATCCTTCTTGGGACCATTGTAATTACAATTTATCTGAAGTGAAATAAATTCTGAAGTTTGTCAGGAGGTCACTGGTGTATTTATCCTTATCTCAAAACCAGTTGCCAGCTGCAGATTTGTCAGCTTTTTTTTTTTTTTTTTTTTATCTCCAGCTACAACTGCTTCTCTAACTTATTTGGCAGTAAATGAGGTCTAGATGCATTTGAACACTCATTCCAAAATTGAAAATCTGTGGCAAACGTTTCACAAAAAAAAATAAATATATATATATATATATATAGTGTTGTTTTAACAGTTTTTATCTATTTAAAGTTGCAAATAGAAGCTTCTCATTTGTGGGCACAGGCTGTGGTTATATGTTTGTGTACCATCTTCAACAGGACAGCAAATGGGGAATGCAACAGTGCACAGAGTCATCCATATATTCATTTATACTCAGTTGATGCAAAGAGGAGATATCAGAGTACTGGATGCTGAAATTCCTGTTTTCAAGGTCTCAAACACCTTATGAAGATGAAATTTAGCCTTACCATAGCCAAACTGGAGAACTCTCCAGTGAATACACCCACACCCCACACACCCTGCGTGGGGCACACAGAGACACTCAGTGACCAGAGCCCTGCTCCGGTGCCAGTGTGGAGCCCAGCCTTGCCTCCCTCACGCTGGTCCCCCTGGTTTGGGGGCACACACAGCTCCTGTCCCATGGCGGGGGGTAGCAGGCCCTGCTGGCTCCAGCAGCTGGCACCAAAGTAACCTCAGGGCCTGCACTCCTGGCCTGACTCTGATAGCAGGCCCTAAATTCACTCACGCACACCCCCAGATCTCACCAGTCTTGACACGCCGTCCTTCAGCACACACACACACAGGAGAGGCAGTACAAATAAGCAGACAGAGTTAAGAAAAGATTTAATGAGGAAATATAAGAAGATGGACAGAGTGTGGTGATCAGGCGCAGGGCTCAGCCAAATAAGTGTACTGACTGGCTCCATTTTACACACAACCGGCCCTTTTATACCCTTTTCTCCCTATCCCCCATTTGTTCCTCCTGCTCCCCCTTCCCCTGCACACCCCAGAGCTCGGCAGCTTCTGCACTATCCCTGCCCAGGGACCCTTGGCTCACACCTTATCACCTGCAAAGTCCAGGTTGATCTTCCTCAAAGCGGTGCCTGCAATTTAATAGCTCATCAACCAGCATGACTGGGAGGTTTGCTTCTTGTCATCGTCTCCAGTTTTGTTTTGTCAGGTCTGTGTCTCAGAACTTTGCTTATTGTTCCCCCTTTGCTTCTAATCATTCTGATCCAGATATCCTCACTCAGGCAGCCTTGCTTGAACCAACATTCCCATATTCTGTCCCTTTCCTTATCAATTAGTACAACTGACCCAGTCTGGTTCCCATCATTTCCTCCCTTTCTTGCTTTCCCTGTGTTGCATTGGAAAAAGTCCTTGACCAGATATTGTAAAGAAGGAGGCACTGTCCTACATACACTTACAGTGAAGCTTACACCTTTGGGAAGGTGGAAGGCCTTATTGAGGGCCGTAAAGAAAGCTCAACAAAAATGAGCATCTGCCCCTGAAATCGGGGACTGGATGGGAATTGAAGTGGAGGAAGGATGAGGGAACATTGTTGGACATGAGCAGTCTCCCTGTGATCTCAGTTCTCATCTTCATGAGGCACTCAGTGTTACCCCGGGCCATGAAAATGACAGTGAGGTTTGGGATCTGCCTTGGGGGAGCAGGAAGCGTCATGGCCACACACAACATGATGGAATCACAGAACAGTTATCGAGCACAGGGTGCCCATGAAAGCAGTGTGGGGACTTTCCTCCCCCAGCTC